GCTCTCGCTTGTCTATCGCCCTCGCGCGTGCGACTAGCTTCTGTCTGCGTGGGGGAGGGAGGGGAGGGTTTGCGGGACTGGGGTGTGCTGATGGGGCGGGGATTGATCCCTCCTCCCCTTGAGCCTGTTTGACTCTGCGTGCTGATGGGACTGTATTTGTATGAGTATCACGGACACACAGACGAGTGTTACGGTTAATGACAGTTTCTCCCTGAAAAAAAAAAAATCTGCTCACTTCATGACTCAAACATCTATCTGTATCCCCACTTCTGTCTCTCCTTACATTTCCATTGTGGCGCTCATGACGTTGAGAATCAAGATAATTACCAATGTCGTCCAACAATATGCCATCCAAAACGAGACAGTGAACAGAAGATAGGCAAGATAGGCACAATCGAACTGAACATAGAAAGAAAAGTCGGGCAAACGAAGACGTATGCTTAGTACAACTCCTCTTCCTTACGCAGCCGGACGTATCAACAGCCTCTATAAGCACCTCGGTGCCAAATACAGTCCAGCCAGGGAAGAGGAAAAGGAACAAGATGCGTGTCAATTTGCCGGAGGTCCAAAACGGCGAGCCGAGCACCCCGATGCAGTGCAAGAGATGCGAAACGAAGACGAAGACCTCTGTAGCAATGAGCCATAGCTGAAGAGGCCGACAGCCTGTCCATGCGTTCAAGGGGCCCGAAAGAAATGGTAATGATGGAGAAACTGAAGGATGGTATGGAGCTTACCTACCGAGGTATCCCAATCTTCATACATCTTGGTTGATGAGAAGAACAAGAAGAGAAGAAATATAGGCGTCAGCACCGTCATGAACATCCTGCATTCATGCATGCTTTCACCTCGTCACCGCCAATGGCTCATTCATTTGAATACAGCATACCACATCGTCTCTAGGTCCCTTTTGGAGACGTTGGATGCCAACTGCCTAGCAAACTTCGGCGTTTTCGGGCCTTGTTACTCTGATCAGCCTGAAATAGCACTAGCTACGGAGACGCATCCAGGTGACCTTCAATGTACAGGGACGATAGAGAATAATATCATAGCTTAATTGAATAGCGCACCCAACGGCCCCCGAAGGCAAGGCTCCCCTCTATGTGCGTAGGGTCCACCGGGGAAAGCTCTCCCCTACTCGAAGGATGACAGCAGAACGAATGTGACTGTCAGAATAGGTGGGAGAGGGTCGGTGAGAATGGTGAAGAGAGGATCAGCCGGGCGGTCAGTCCCGGATAAAGTACTAAGTCAATGTGACTCAAGGTTTGTGGATTGTTGGGGCAAAGTCCATGCATGGCATGTAGCATAGATCAGTCCATCCTGTCTGACGTCCTGTCCGCCATGGCCTGTCTCATGGACACGGACAACATCGAAAGAATCACCACAGCCGTCCTGTCTCACAGATCAGTGGATCGTCGATCTACGGTGGACCGACTTGCACTTCTGACACCCCCTCTCAAGTCGGTACAGAGATAGGGCATCAGTCCGCGCAAAACTATCACTTGACCAAAACGCTGCGCGAGTGAGGTCTTCGCCACCACAAGAGATCTGCACAAGGAGCAGCCCTCCTCAAGAAGAGAGACCAGAAAGTGACGTGTCCAAGGCCATCAGAGGGGCGCAAGGACAAGAGAAGCATAGTGAAGCCGCAGATCCAGACAGCGGACATTACCATCAAAGATAGAGATAGACAAGCGAAGGAGTGCTCCTGTGCAACCTCAAGGAAGTGGCCAAAACCACAAGAGCAATGCAAGCACTTCACAAACATAATTCATGACACGTTCTGCCTGCCTGTGATCTTCTCACTCAGGTACTCGTGTGCCTCTCTGCCCAACCCCTCAGTCAGTATGTCAGCAACATTCTCAGATGACGGTACGTAGCGCACAGACACAACGCCTGACTGAACCAGATCACGTAGATAGTGGTAACGTACATCGATGTGTTTGGTTCTCTGGCTGACTATCGGGTTGTGTGAGCTCAGAATGGCACTTCCACTGTTAGCATGCAAGACTGCACTGCCAAATCGACTACCGAACAGCCTCACTTCCTTCACAAAATCAGCCAGGTAGACGAGGGCAGTGGCACACTCACACATTTGTACATATTCTGCCTCGACAGAAGATAGAGTGACGATTGGCTGTGTTTTGGCACTCCACAGGACAGGGCCTCCACACAGGAAAACAACGTGACCCCCACTGGACTTCCCATCCTCGCTATCTGCCCATGATGAATCAGAGAACGCACACAGATCCAACACACTGCCTGACTGACATGCATTGAACTCTATCCCTCTTTCCTTTGTCGCACTCAGGTATCGCAATGCACGCTTGGCTGCTATCCAATGGCTCGCTCCTGGGTTGTGGGCGTGCTTGGCCAGCTCCTTGACGGCGAATGCGATGTCCGGTCGACACGTGACAGAGCAGAACATGAGGGATCCCACAAGTTGTCGATAGGGAATCTTGCTCATCTTCTTCTTCTCGTCCTCGGTCTGCGGTGCCATATCGTTGGTCAGTCGCACACCAGACGCACACGGGAATGGTGTTGGGTTGGCTTGGTCCATGTTGTACTTGCTGATCATCTTATCGATGTATTGTGGTTGTGTGATGGTCAGGTGTCGTCGTGGTCGGTCTCGGGTGATCTTGAGTGCCAGGAAGACATCAGCCTCGCTCAAATCCTTTGTCGCGAAGACTGTCGACAGCTGTGATTTGAACCAGGTAACCCCCTCTTCGCGGCTGGCGATAAGGATATCGTCGACGAACACAGACAACATGATTCCTTTGTTGTCGTGCAGGTACACACAGGGCTCCTTGGGATGACGGCGGAAGCCGAGATGCAGTAGTTGGTTGTGGAGGGTGATGTTCCACGCACGTGGGGCCTCTTTGAGTCCATAAAGGGCCTTCCGGAGGCGGACAATATATCCCGGGCGCCCGTATCCAGGTGGACACTCTATGAACACTGGCTTGTCGAGCGGCGCGTTGAGAAATGCTGTGTTGACATCCATTTGGTGAATCTCCACGTCGAGTTGGTTGGCGATGGCCAAGACTGCTCGCATGACGTGGTAAGAGGGCGTCGGGGCGAACACATCATCTACTTGGTTCTTGTCTTGCTCGAATCCGCGGGCGACGATGCGGGCCTTATACTTGTTAGGCTTCAGGGCATACACCCATCGACAGGATATCGGCCGACTGGTCGCTTGAGAGCGGGGCACATACTCGAACACACCCAGGTCAGTGACCGATTCCATCTCCCGATCCATCGCATCCTGCCAGTGGCAGGCGTCGAATGCATTGATTGCTCGCTGGTAGGTCTTCGGCATCTTGGATGTGAAGAGCTGTGCCATCGAAAGTGGCTGGCGAGTTTCTTGTGATGACGGTGGCCTCGCAAGTGCTGCTGGTGCGTCGGTGTCGACGATCAGGCTTGGCATCGTGTCGTCCACATCGTCAGCAACACACAGTCGCTCGATGACGGCAAAGATGTGGTCTTCGTACAGCCACCGAGGGATGAGGCGGTTTCGACCTGATCTTCGCTACTTGGCGTTGTCGTCATCTGCCCTCTCTTCCTCTCGAATGACTCGGTAGTCGTCAACGGCACCTCCATCGGTATCGGCGACGGCTCCTTCCCCATTTTAGGCATCTAAAGCGGTCGGCGGTAGGGCTGGTGCTGCTGGCGGTCCTTCGAGCGGTGGAAAGCTGTCAGGCTCTTGATCTTGGTCTTCTTCGTGTTGGTCGACACGCTCATGGTCTTGATGCTCCCGATGTCGGTCATCTTTGGGTTGCTGGGCATGAGGGTGGTCTTGATGGTGGTCGATCTGCTCGTCAGGTGAGATGAACGTCTGGGGATACACTAAATCAATCCCTAGTGGTCCCCTTGGTTGCTTCTCCTTTGCAGGGAACATGTGCTCGTCCACTTCGACGTCTCGTGAGATGACGAATTGACGATTATCAGGCAAGCACACCACATAGCCATCCTTCGTGTTGGGGTCGAAGCCGATGAGGATGCCCAACTTGGCCCGTAGCTCCAGCTTGCCCCTCTGGTCCTTTCGCTGATGTACGTACGCTCTTGCGCCGAATATGTGGATATGCTTGATGCATGGCGGATAATCCTAGAAGAGCTCAAATAGCGTCGTCTCTCCTGGATTTGTCTTGGTTGGCATGCGATTTTTGATGTAGGTGGCGGTCTTCGCGGCAAAACACCAAAGATGGGGGAAGGCCGGATTGAAAGAGTGCTGCACGGGTCAGTTGACACACCACACCAATCGTTCGCTCTGCCACGCCGTTCTGTGACTGATGGTGAGGTAGGCTCTGTTCTTGGCGTATCTAGTGCCGCTCGCAGAGTGCCTTCTATTCGCCGGCGACGAGTTCAACTCCTCCATCGGTCCTCACTGCCTTGGGCATGCGAACAGTCGTGCAGTAGTGCATAAATGCCTTCGGTGCGGTGGACCTTTTCTTGAGGAAGTAGGCCTGCACATAACGGCTGTAGTCGTTCACCATGACTATCAGGTACTTGAATCCTCTCTCGCTGAGTTGCTTGATCTACGCCAGGTCGACGTGCACCAGACCACTAGGCGATGAATGGCGGAATGCATTGCCCAGGTATGGACGAATCTTCATCTTAGCTTGGACACACACCTCGCACTTGTGCTGCTCTCCTTCATCCTTCTTGCCTTTCTTGACAACAGGTGCGTTGCGGCAGACCTCAGGAAGTCGGTCGACGGCTGCGTCGTGGTAGTGGAGGAAGCGATGATGGGCAAGTTCCTCACTGGTGACGTCGGCCACCATTGCTCCTGTTTGCTCGCCACCTTCATCAGCAGGTAAACAGTGAAATACGCCATCACCACCACGCGGGTCGATGATGCTTGCTGTTGCTGTTGGTGTCTTGTGCTCTATCGCCGGTAGGGCACGTGGCTGTGAGTAGATGGGGCAGTCGTTGGCATCCCTGTAGATGTCCAGGTATCAGAAACGACCACGTCTGACAAGCGGGTAGCGGTCTCCTCTCCTTGTTGCGGCCATGTGAGCTGCACAGGGGCCAATGACAAACTCGATGCAATATTGATCCACCAGGTGAGCGACGAGAAGAGGTCGAACTTCAGATCAGGCACATACAGCACACCATCCACACACACGGTCTTCTTGCCGTTGTTGACCTCTTTGCAGGTGTACTTGATGCGGCCGACTCCTCTGGCTGGTACAGATGTGCCATCGGCCATGACGGTCTTGATGTGTCGGTCGAGTGGCTTGATTTCGTCGAAGAGAAACTGCTGGTGGCAGCATGTCTTGCCGGCTCCTGAATCGATCATCATGGAGGTAGGTCTCACAGACACACCACTGACGTTGACCACCTCTTCCTCGCACTCAACGGCCGTAACGGTCCCACCATTTCCATGTCGGTTGCTCTCTGCTCGCAGGTGTCGTCGATCTGATCACACCCGTCGAGTTGATTCGTGTGGACACGCCGATTGCGGTTGTTCGTGCCGTTCGTGCGCGTCGTATTCATGATGACATCTCCGTCCTTGTCGTGACGGACGATGGGCTGCTGCTGGCGTCCACCGTTGCCCCCTTGCTCCATCGCCACTTGGGTAGGCGCGGAAAGGCGCCCCTGATGAGTTCCACTGATTGCCGTTCCTTCTGTTATTGTTGTTGTGGTTGTTGCCGTAGGTCTGGCCGTTGCCGTTTGGTTGGCGTCGCCACTCGTAGCGGTTGTCACGGTTGTCTCGGTAAGGCCGTTCGTTGCTCTTGTTGCCTCCTTGATACGTGTCAGGTCGATTGCCGTTATGTGGCTGATCTTGTTGGCGTCCGTTTTGGTTGCCCTTCTGTCGAATGCGGTCACGCTGCTGGCTCATCCTTCTCGCATGCCGCATGCGGTCGTTGGCATTGCGGAGGGCTTCCTCGAATTGCTCCCATGTGAGGTCGTTGAAGCGGTAGTCCAAGGAGCTCTTGAAGCGCTCGAATCGAGGAGGTAGGGCATTGACCATGACGGCTATCTTGGTGTTGTCAGTTGGTTTCTCTCCCATGTCGCTCAAGTGTTTCGCCAGGAAGTTGAAGTCGGTGAGAGCATCGTCGATGTCGTCCTTCTCCATCTGGTACTGGAAGTAGTTGCAGAGGATCTCATGCCGACAGACGACTCGCTCAGGTATGCACCACTTGCGCAGCTCCCAATAGGCTCGTGCACCATTCTCGCCATACTTGTCGAATGACTCCTGGATGATCCGTTTCGCCTTGCCTTCTGTGTGCAGGACGAGGAAGCCGAAGAGCTGTCGCAGCACACTCCTCTCCTTCGTTCGCTGCTCGTCAAGGTCTCCATCCTCATTCGGGACAGGTAACCGAGGAATGTCTTCTTCCTTCTCAGGCATCAGACGCTATGTGGGCATCTCCTTGGCCAGGAGGAAGGCTCTTGAGGGTGAATTTCCACTCACGCCAGTCGTCTATGTCTCCATTGAAGGTACGGATGACGGTCTTGGGGTCGAATGCAAAGATGGGCTTCTGCGCTATTGCTGCTGCTCTTCTTGCTGCTCAGGTCGACCGATCAGGATCGTCACACTGGCTGCTGCTGAAGAGGCGCTTGACGCTGAAGAAGTCTTTCGGGGCTGATAGCACCGAGAGAACGCGGATCGATAGACCGGTTAGGATCTATCAGCTGCCGACAAACAGACGATAGACAGGCTGCTGCACAGACAGACTGCCAAGAGGCGGATGATAGACAGGCCTGTTAGGATTTGCCCAATTGCCGATCAGGCGGAAAAGACAAACCAAGTTGCTGCGCCCATGTCAGAATAGGTGGGAGAGGGTCGGTGAGAATGGTGAAGAGAGGATCAGCCGGACGGTCAGTCCCCGATAAAGGATTAAGTCAATGTGACTTAAGGTTTGTGGATTGTTGGGGCAAAGTCCATGCATGGCATGTAGCATAGATCAGTCCATCCTGTCTGACGTTCTGTCCGCCATGGCCTGTCTCATGGACACGGACAACATCGAAAGAATCACCACAGCCGTCCCGTCTCACAGATCAGTGGATCGTCGATCTATGGTGGACCGACTTGCACTTCTGACAGTATGAAGCAGGAAGGAAGCAGAAAAGCAGGCACCATACTTTGACGGCACCGGCCCTCACCCATGCCACATACAGTGTACATACGTACGTTCAGCGAGGATATTTTCCCTGGTGAGGTCGTCATCTACTCTATGGCTGGTGTAGTAGCGCTTGAGGTCGACGGATGTGCCGGGCTGCGAGGGCATGGGATGGTGAAGAATCACCGGCTTATGCGGAAGCGCGTACATATGTTAGCTTTAAGGAAGCAGCAATAGGCACGGAAGCAGGATGTGAAACATGCTCACATACGCTTGTCGAAGCTCTTTCCCATCCCTGTACGTGCGTGGCATCCTCACATAGTGGATGGCGCGAGACAAAAAACTGTGCTGTGCTTGCCGTCACGTGTGTAGACGAGGTCGTTCAGCCGTCGCTTCCTGCAATGCAACAGGACGATAACAACGGGGCCGCTCATCTGCAGGTCAGTCACCATCACCCTCAGGGTAGTCTCCGTCCATTCATTGACTGTTTTGCATCTGTGTTGTCTGTGTGTGATGCAGTCGACATGTGGCGATGATGCCCCTCGTCGGCTCCGAGAGGAGAAGCATCGCATCGACACACTCTACCATACCATAGAAACAGAAGAGAGTACAGCCGGTTGGGCCGTCCACTCAAGCAGCGAGTAGAGCACTGAACGTATGTGGTGATGCTTCTGTCGTGTCAGTTGACCGTTGAGAGTCCCGCCTTGACGGGCGGCGATGTGTGTATGGTGCTGGGCCACATGACGCGGGGCGGCGACAGCCTGAAGGAGGCGGCCGACTATCTGAACGGCATAAGTTCCATTTCTCACGCACACGGCGGAGTGACAGAGGTACGGGCACACACAGACAAACAGTCCATGATGGACCTGGTGCACTCGGAGGGTTTCCTGCTGTGTGGGGATGCAGCAGGCGGTGTTCACGGAGGTGTTCAAGAAGCTGACCGAGGTGTGTCTGACCATCATGGAATTGGGCGAGGCCGACACCTGCGGCACCAGCGACATGATGCACCACATGCTCGACATGAGCGACCCTGAGGTGACCCACCCACCGACCCACCCACCCACCCATTCGCAGACCGACAGACCGCCCCACTGTGATGCCCTTTCTCTCTGTATGTGAGGTGCACTCGCTGGCCACTCAGCTGCACACCACGCTGGCCCACACATTCGGCTACGCCCCCAACACCCCCCCACCCCTCACCAACACCACCACCACTACCACGACGATGACCCATCAACAGCAGCAGGGCAGCGCCACCCCGACGTACCAGGAGTACCATCTGTTCGACCACGACGACACCCCCAACCGCTCGCTCTCACTCGGCAGCCGCACTGTGGGCGGGCCCTTTACTCTGGGCGGCAGTGAGAGAGAGGGTGAGGGCGACCGACAGAATGGGGAGAGGGCGGGCAGCCAGAGAGACGGGAGTTTCTTGTGAGGGGCGTGTGTTGTGCGCGTGCTGCCATCTCTCTGTCTGTATTGTGTGTGTATGCTCGTGGAGGGAAGAGAGGGAGCACGTGCTTGTGTGTCTAGACAGGTCAAGTAGTATGCAATAAATGTCTCTCACTTTGCATACATGTCTGCGCACGCCTGTAGTTGGATGGTGTATGCCTCGAATTCCTCTCTGTGTGCACACGCCTGCGCACGCCTATCGTTGGATGGTAGTAAATGCATGTCTGCCTGTGTGGATGGATCGTGTGCATGTGCGTGTGTGTGTGGTATGACGTGACTAATGCGCAATTGCGTAGTGCACTGCCTTAGTATCCAAGAAGAGGCGTGAGTGAGGCCAGACAGAAAGACAGGTGGCGCGTTGTCGTCACGACGTTCGTTCGTACCGGGAATGAGATCAGATAGCCATGCTGGCTGGAACTGGATGCCATGCATGAGCATGCATGAAAGGGAGGGCTCTGCACAACTGCCGTCGTGTGTGCCCAAGACGACGCACAGAGAGAGAGAGAGAGAGGAAGGACTGTATACTGTTCTCGCTACAACCGATTATATCTGTGTGTGCCTGTTCATTTTTTTCTTCGCCGGCTCCCTCCACACACTCGATTGTGCTTGTGGAGGAGAGGAACCGTGACGGGCGCGCTGCGATGGAACGACAGGCTGTGTGATTTGGACAGACGTGAACGTCGAACGGAGTTGTGACTAGTCTCATTGATGCCTTTGTGTGTGGTGTTGGATGCCGTCTGTGGTCTGCATGGCCTCATGTGGCGTCACTGTGACCCGCTCAGTGCGCACTGAGCGGGGCATAGTCGGGCCAGCCACATCAGGTCAGGAAGACAACCGGGACGGCTGAACGAACGCACACCAACAGGGGCCGAAGTGGCGATGGGCGACGGTCGCCTCCTGACTGCCTGATTGCCTCCTGGACTGAGCTCGTCTGTGCTGCATGGAGAGAGCACCGATACATCGATGCATCCGCTTTTTTCACCATGATCATATATTATGATGATGACACACGTAGGTTTGTTGGGGGTTGCATTGGTAGATATCCGTGTCTGTTCATGTGAATGTCCATGAGTGTATGGCAATCTGCGTGTCTGTATGTGGTGTGTATGTGTGATGAATAAAACAAATGAATATCATCATGATACGGTGAGAGAGCGAGAGAGTGACTAACTGTGTGACTGGCTGGCTATGACAGGTCGATCGAGCTGACAACAACCAACAGGCTGACTGCCGTGTGGGTGATGTATGTGTGTGGCGCCAGATCGTTCATTTCGAACATGCAATGTCGGTGTTTCTAAGTGACACTTGCCCTTCTACATGGGACTGATCGTTCGTTTCAAGCACGCAGGGAAGAGTGGGCGGGAGGAGCCGTATGGTGTTTTCGCACGTAAGTAGTATTTATAAGGGTCCGTGTTTTATTAGAAGCAAGGTAAGCCGGTGGTTTCATAATTAGGTGCGTGCAGCTGTGTCGTGTCTTTCTTGCCATCGTCTGTCTGCATTTTTGACACCGAATGGATTCATTGATCATATATGCATTCATCCCTTCATAATTCGTGTGTCATGAGTGCGAATGCCTATTACGCAGGTCCGCAACCCTCCACGTTTATACCATACCAAAGCTTACCAAATGAATGAATGGGAGTGTTAGTAGTGCTTGTTCCATACTGGTTGTTGGACGCTGCTGCATGCCGTGCATGCTCGCTGTGTCATGTCCACATCCATGCATCCATGTTCCGTGTATGTATGTACCTGATTCATGCATGTGCCCCCCTATCGTTCATGTCATGTCCCTCTTCTCCATGCACCCAGCCCTCACCGTTTGTCCATCCGTTCCCCGTTTATTATCTGTCCGCCTGTCCGTCTGCCTATGTTTATCTGTCGCTCTCTCTGCACCGCACGCACCGGGCCCGCCCGTTTTCTATTGTGCGTGTGCACGTAAGAGTTTCCGGACGCTAGTGACCACCCAACGTGGTGCATGCATCAGGGTGAAAATCATAGCTAGCTCGGCGATGGGACGAGTAGTCAGTGAACTGTGGTGCGGGTGGGAAATAGGTCGCGGGCACGGGAGGGAACCAGACACAAGAGACACAGGCTGCGTTGAGAAGTGAAGAAAGGTCAGATACACATGCTGGATGCACCATTTTCCCTGCTTGCATGCAGTAGAAGCGAAAAAGAAATTGTCACTTTCATTCCCCAGCCCTCGCATGTGTTTTGATAAGGTCGTATTGCCTTGGGATTCGGCTAGGGCTGCATCAAGCGTCATTGGTCTTATTCGCAAAGCGCAATTGTCATCCATCAACATAGGCAGACCAGCATTTATCCATCATATACGCAAGGACCATTTGTCGTAGTCTTTGCGGTTGCATGCAATTGTCTCCCATTCACGCATGCCAGTCTCTACCTAAATGAGAATGGCACACCCACGCCCACGCACACATAAGCATTCATGTGAGGCGATGAACCATTTCATGAAAATCACAACAAAAATATGATTTCCACTGGATGGCTGTGCACACAGGCAAAGACAAAGGAGAGCCGTGATTAACAGATAGATAGAAGTGGCAACAGAGATACTCATGCAGACGGCTGCTGAGAAGCAAGCCATGCATGCAAGTGCGATAGATGAAACAGTGACCGCCCCGACCACCCGAGAGAATCTCGTGGCCGGATGGCCCCACGTCCAATACGGAGCACACACACCACCGATGCGATAGATCCAAGCCACACCAACACGCACACACCCCCATTCACCACCGGACATACACACGCAACTACACGCACACCGATGCGATGGACACACCCATTGAAAAGCGCCAGAGAGGGGCACCGATGGACTTCAAACATGGCACACACATGGGGAAGGGAGGAAATGAAAGCTGAAAGCTTAGCGGAGGCGGGAACACACCAGACACACTCACAGACAGGCACGCAGGCAGGTAGGCACAGGGAAGCACCCAGACATGTAGGCAGCAGCCGAAGACACAGGGAAGCATCCATGCAGACAGGCGTATTCACAATCAACCTTTGTCAGTGAGCGAGAAAAAGAGGCAGTAAGTAAGGAAGTCAGGTAGTAGTAGGGAAGGCAAAAAGCCTAGGCTGAGTGAGGCGAAGAAAACCAGGCTAGGCTAGGCTTGCCCTGCCGCTGGCCCGAAAACAGCCCCGAAAACAACCCAACCCGACATACAAATAGGTGGATAACACAGCACATGCAGACACACACACGCACACACACACACACCCGCACATACGCACATACACGCTCTGGTATGCACCTCAGCGTTATGTCGGTCGTGACGATCAAATTCTCCCTTTGAGCAAGGGTCAGTCCAGGTGAGCCGTCCATCCACTGTCCTGTTCCGCGAAGCCCCACCTTGGGTGGTCACTAGCGTCCGTCCGCGTCACTCATGCCCACCTTCCCGCCCACAGCTAGGTACGTGCAGAGATCCCCACACACAAACTCCCTCACCAAAAACACGAGAACGGACGATCGAAGTAGAGGGCCAGATTGCTCGAGACAGACTAGACCGAGACATACGCTCAATGACGGACGGACGGACGGACAGACGAACAAACGGACGGAAACTCTCACGTGCACACGCACATAGAAAACGGGCGGGCCCGGTGCGTGCGGTGCAGAGAGAGCGACAGATATACATAGGCAGACGGACAGACGGACAGATAGTAAACGGGGAACGGATGGACAAACGGTGAGGGCTGGGTGCATGGAGAAGAGGGACATGACATGAACGATAGGGGGGCACATGCATGAATCAGGTACATACATACACGGAACATGGATGCATGGATGTGGACATGACACAGCGAGCATGCACGGCATGCAGCAACATGCAACAACCAGTATGGATACAAGTACTACTAACACTCCCATTCATTCATTTGGTAAGCTTTGGTATGGTATAAACGTGGAGGGTTGCGGCAATCCTACCGTAGCAGACAAACCGACCTGCGTAATAGGCATTCGCACTCATGACACACGAATTATGAAGGGATGAATGCATATATGATCAATGAATCCATTCGGTGTCAAAATTGCAGACAGACGACGGAAAGAAAGACACGACACAGCTGCACGCACTTAATGATGAAACCGCCGGCTTACCTTACTTCTAATAAAACACGGACCCTTATAAATACTACTTACGTGCGAAAACACCATACGGCTCCTCCCGCCCACTCTTCCCTGCGTGCTTGAAACGAACGATCAGTCCCATGTAGAAGGGCAAGTGTCACTTAGAAAAACCGACATTGCATGTTCGAAATGAACGATTTGGTGCCACACACATATATCACCCACACGGCAGTCAGCCTGTTGGTTGTCGTCAGCTTGGTCGACCTGTCATAGCCAGCCAGTCACACAGTTAGTTACTCTCTCACTCTCTCACCGTATCATGACGATATTCATATCATTCATTCATCAGACATACACATCACATACAGACACGCAGATTGCCATACACTCATGGACATTCACATGAACAGACACGGACATCTCTAAACCCCCAACAAGCCTGCGTGTGTCATCATCATAGTATATAATGATCATGGTGAAAAAAGCGGATGTATCGATGTATCGGCGCTCTCTCCATGCAGAACAGACGAGCTCAGTCCAGGAGGCAATCAGGCAGTCAGGAGGCGACCGTCGTCCATCGCCACTTCGGCCCCTGTTGGTGTGCGTTCGTTCAGCCGTCCCGGTGGTCTTCCTGACCTGATGTGGCCCGACTATGCCCCGCTCAGTGCGCACTGAGCGGGTCACAGTGACGCCACATGAGGCCATGCAGACCACAGACGGCATCCAATACCACACACAAAGGCATCAATCAGACTAGTAACAGCTCCGTTCGATGTTCACGTCTGTCCAAATCACACAGCCTGTCGTTCCATCGCGGCGCACCCGTCACGGTTCCTCTCCTCCACAAGCACAATCGGGTGTGTGGAGGGAGCCGGCGAAGAAAAATGAACAGGCACACACAGATATAATCGGTTGTAGCGAGAACAGTATACAGTCCTTCCTCTCTCTCTCTCTCTCTCTGTGCGTCGTCTTGGGCACACACGACGGCAGTTGTGCAGAGCCCTCCCTTTCATGCATGCTCATGCATGGCATCCAGTTCCAGCCAGCACGGCTATCTGATCTCACTCCCTGTACGAACGAACGTCGTGACGACAACGCGCCACTTGTCTTTCTGTCTGGCCTCACTTACGCCTCTTCTTGGATACTAAGGCAGTGCATTACGCAATTACGCATTAGTCACGTCATACCACACACACACGCACATGCACACGATCCATCCACACAGGCAGAC